TACTAATGAGCGTGAGTGTAGAGATGAAAAGATCATCAATAACGGTGTAACTATAAAGAATTTAGAAAGTGCTCAGGAATTAGTTTCTCTGCTCAAGCGTTTTGTTAAATGCCTTTGGATATTAGTTCTCAGAGATCAAGTTTTTCGACCCTCATTATTTAGCTCCCTTCCTTGGTACTAGGTATCTTAAACGCTTTTAAAAAGGCTTAAACGTTTTATCCATAAAACCTGTTTTCTATTTTCTTCACATTCGCCGCAGAAAAGTAATAATGTTTTAGTAAAGTTTTGGTAATCAGGAAAAAAAAAGTATCTAAAAGATATTAGTCATCAGAATTTTGAACCATCCACGTTTAATGAATTCCTTTCCTCAAGGTTATTTGCCTGATCGAGAAATAAACAATGTATAAATCAATTAATACCTAATCCACGTCACTTTTTCAAAAGCTGCTGTATAACTCAAACTTAAAAAGTGTTAGCAGCGTATTTTCCTGCAGCTCACGATCACATAAGAGTAAGATATCCTTTACAAACTATTAGAACCCTCAAAATAACTAATTTTAAGCGCAAAAAGTTGCTAGTATATTTGGTCGCGGAAGTCAAACTTCTACAGCTACGTTACTCGTTGCAGTTCCAATTTAGAAAGCTCTGTCTACCCAATCACAGAAAGAGTTACAGAGAAGAACAATTTCGCCGAAAGGCAAAGACAAGATACTCCCAAGAACCCCGAGAGCCATTGATAATAATTATCTGAAAGAGGAAGAAAAGAAGAACTGAGCCCCAGCGAGGAAGAAGATAAGACTACGTTTATTACATTAGACTACATTTATTTTAATTTCGTTTTTATTGTTTTATGTGGTTGTTTTTGATTGATTGTTTTAAAAGACGGCAGCGAGTTTTTATATGTTTATAATTTGTTTTTATTGACTCGTACCTTGTGTAAAGGTTTAATTACCCAAATTTAAGGGGTTATTCAAACGTTGTATTGTCTACGGCAAAATAAACGTCTTTTTATTACTATATAAAACCCGCGTGGCATAACTCACTGGTGACAGACCGGTAGGAGAATCACCGCGAGTACCGATCAAACAAATTTAGAAGAACAATAATATTCTTTTTTTTTTATAAAAAATACACAAAAAACTAATAATTTACATTTCTTCGCTGTAGAGAAACTCAAAATAAAGAAATTATACCAATCTATTTTTCACTCAAAATATGGAAATATTAAATTGAAGTCGCCAACAGTGGAAAAGCTCAGATCAGTTTCTTATAACAGCTCAAAGCGTATCAAATAAGTGAAAAGTTAAGCTTGGGAAAGAAAAAAGCAAAAGGAACAAGAAGAGAAAATAACGGGAAGCAAGCTCCTTGTTTTGAAAAGCAATACTATAAACTGTTTTGATGTGCTCCAAATAAGGTAAATTATTGATGAAATTAAACAGGTTTGAGAGAAAAACGGCTCGAATATTTCTACTAAATGAGCAAACAATCAAATGAATAGACCCTGAAATTTTCTTTGGTCAGAAATTGCAAAAATTGCAAAGGTTATTTGAAACAATTAATACGCTTAAAAAAGACCTGCATTATAACTGGATGTCACTTCTTCATATTTAAATGCGTATATTCGTCATAAATCTTTTTATAGTAATAACAACAAAATATTCTCACTGAATTACCCAATCGTTAATTTCACATAAACGTTACCAGTCATGTAAAACACATATAGAAAATGCAGTGTAGAAATCAAACAAGGAGTCCGCTGAGACACACTTAGGCCAAAATGAAAAATGGCTTATATGCGTTCCTTAAGACTTACAGAACAAGTAAATCTGACGCGTCAATACGATATCGAATAGTACAGAAAACCAGCAAATCAAGCACTGTAACTTCCACTAAAAAAGCACAGAAAATCTGACGCTGATAGTGCAGTAATCTAGTCTATGTTTTACTGCCCAAATCTAACTTGTTGTCCACGAATGAACATAGCTGTAGTCAATTAAAGTATAATGTAAAATATCACCTTCAAAACCTTCATTTCCCCTGAATTCGCCGCTGCCCTTCACTGTAAATCTGTCACATACTTTTAAATAAATTAACAAACCTTTCCTTTAATAATCTCTCAAACACAAAAATGAAGAAAAAGTTTATTTATCCAGCTCTTTAATTACAGCCTACTCCAACGACAACCAGAATACTAAAAAATCGTAGCATGAAAAAGAGAAAACTGTCTATTAGAAACAAGAAGAGTAAATGCTACCGACGAAATCGGACTGCTGAGATTAATACTGTTGATAAGAAACGGTATATTTATTATTATAGGAACAAAGCTTTCTTCATTTTTTTCTGATTTGTTACTCCTTAAAACAAAAATTTTTTTATCGACTTCCAGTCAGCCATCACTGCTACCACTTGAAACAGGTAACAAGTGTGTTGTTCTCCGCTGTACTTTTTCACCGGCTTGTAAATTAAAATACTGTAATATATCCGTAAAAGCGTTTAGAAAATTTTGAACATATAATTATCTACAATAGTCCCAAGAAGAGAAAAGACGTTTTTTCCAAATAACAACAATCATTGCTTCTCAAAAGTTTATTGCTGAAAGCACTTTTGGTTCTTTCGACTACTCATACTACTATTTTTCAGAAAGCCACCTCAAGATACTGATTTCTGGCCCACAAAATAACTGTATACATAAAAAGTGGAAAAATCAACGTTTGCTTTGTTATTTTGTAAAAGGTGGAAACGCAGTTACGAAAACATCACGTTAAGGTCAGCAAATAATCTTGACGAGTGACATGGCTTGGCACTACCACTGTTTCAGTCAGAGAGAAGCTGTCCAAGAATCAAGTGTGTTGAGCCGTACATTTAAAGTCTTAAACACAGATAAATACACGAAACAATTTTGATTTTTTTTTTAAAGATATCCTTAATGTCTTAGAGTTTACTTCCCAAAACAAAATTTCTGGAAGTCACCAAAACAGTCTAACGACCACAATCAATTTCCACCGACAAAATCTTTTTCCAACATTAACTATCTTAAAATAGTTATTAGAATTCCTCTGAGACTCGACATATTAATTATTACGGAACTGGATAATAAAAAGTACAGGTTATTACATAATACTTCATTAAAAGAGCAACCACTGCATTTCAATATAGCCCAAACAAGTTTAATGTTATCCGTACGTTTGGAAAAAATTGGCCGGATTGAGGAGCAAATAAATTAAACTAAAACAAAAGTGGTATGCACCAAAACCCAGTCAACAGTTTAAATATTAGAGAAAGGCTTTTGTTTAGGATTAGATTAATGTAGTATATTTTGGCGTGAGCACAATTAGGAGACAAATCGCTATGGCACTGATAATTTTGCTAAATATTATCAAAATTTCGAAGAAAAGACAGCAGCTGATTTTCCAGTGTTTCGATGCATAAAACGTTTTCTCACTACTAAATGATCACATAAGGCTTGACCAATTTCTGAACCCGAACCCGTTATAAAGTTAATCACACCTGGTGGAATTCCAGCTTTTGCTGACAGCTCAGTTATTTATCAGGTTCTAGAACCCCAATTTGTATGTAGTCAGACACCGGAAAACGGACGATTTTGTAAATATTAAATTTCCAAAGTAGCTGCTACTGTCGTTGCCGGACATTTGAAAGTGCCGGTCAGTAACTGACAGTGTCATTTGCGCACGCTCCAACCTGGTTGCGGTGAGAAATATCAGCCTAACCGTGAGCTGGCAAATTTTATTTTAAACGTCCATATTAAGGCTTTCAAGACTTGAGGAATTATCACATAAAGCCTTAGATTTAGGCAACTGATTACTTGCTAACAACAACAATCAAACTGCAAAACGGAAAATCAATTTTTACAGTGGTAGCGAAAAAAAAAAAAAAAAAACAAAGCGACTGTTTTTGCTTTTCTTTACATCTGTAAAATTTTTCTTCACCTTGGTTCAGCAACACTTCGATAACGACTTCTGAGCTGCTGAATCATCTTGATATTTTCTTACTTTTATAAAACTGCAGGCTTAACATCCTTATCAAATGGCCAGTTGAGGCGTCTGAAAGCAGCAGAGAGGCGTGCTAAAATGCGGTCAACTCTTTAAAATACCTTAGCAGTTCCTAAACTAGTGCCTTAATTTTCCTTCTGCCAATCTTCTTGACACTAAATTCTAGATATGAAACCTCGAGGTAAGAGAAGAGATGTGTGTAACAGCATCAAGACTGCCCAATAAAAGCCAGGCAAAATAATTGCATTTCAAAAACATTAAAAAAGCACCAGATGGTCGAAACCTCACCCATGCTATCAGAATCATTCTATCGATTCAGGACAGCTTCACGCTTCCTCCACTGTATCGTAACTCAAGTCCCTACAGATGGATATTAAATGTCTATGGCTGCGTCACAGTCAAGCACATGGCCCAGCACTCCAAAAACTGATGCTGCACATTAGTCGAAATTTCGCAATCAATATCGTTTTCCTCCCTGCTACTTAAATGCGGCGAAGCGAAAACATATGACAAATATAGACCTACAAACTGTTCAAAACATCTAAAGCGAGAGCACTTATTAAGCAAGCAAGTAAGCAGCAATAAAGCAGCTGCATCTATAATTCTTAAAGTTAAAATTTATTCCCATTTACATCCCAACACTCCATCAGGATCCCAAAAGGTGGAAAGATAAGAAATGAAAAAGCAGTTAGCCCAAAAATTGTTGAAGATGCACAATCGCTATAAATGCTCTTTTTACTGCTTGGTCATAGTTTATTCATGTACAAGCGACACTGACAAAAAAAGGAAATTTTATAAGCATGGAGAATTCAGGCATACAGAACTTTTCAAGTCAAGATAAAAAATAAATAACCACTAATTTATACCGACGCAGTGACTTCCAAAACTAGTCATTATTCAGATGCAACAACCAGCAGAGAAACCAAGTGAATGTTTTTTTTTTTTGCAGTCAAATATTCTGACACCTCCACCTCGCTAGCGTAAGAAACTTCAGCTGTTCATGAACGTTTCTATTTCTTCAATAGTGCGCGGAACATTGCTTAATACTTCATTCTCCTTCTCCCATATAACCACGTCGTCTTCAATCCTTACCTGAAACTTCTCAAGCCATATCCTATATGAACAGTAATGAAAAAAATTGTGCACAGATCAAGGGGAAAACACGAACAAATCAGTCATGCTTTACTAGAAAAATAACTTTAATTTAAAAAGTATCAAGATGTATATTGAAATGCAACTCCTACTCCTCCAAAGC